ACAGGGGCTATTTTATTCATTTTCATAAGTTTTATAAATTTTTTAAAAATATTTTTTGCGCTAATTTTATTTTAATTTTTTTATACCAATTGCTTTTTAATAAACACTCTAATCAGTGGCAATTGGTAAGAAATCCAATTAGAATATTCTTTACCCACTTTTTACTTCCGGGGAAAGTCGCTACTAGTCTTTACAAGGCTACTAGTGCGAAAGGGAGAAGTTATTTTCTTATTATGGCTTATGGCCTTTTCTTTTTCTAATTCTTTTTGTGCCTTAATGGCACTGGAATACTTGATATTTTATGAATAGTTTGTTTACCATGATGTTTCATATTTTTTTGTTCTTTTATCCTTTAATTATATTTTACATATTAATTAATTCAAAAAACGCAATTTTTTGGAAAAATTTTCTAATATTCAGAAAAAAAATGACAACAAAAAAATAACATATGCCAACTCTCACTCTCCAAAATATAACCATTAAAGAACTAAAAGATAAGAATTTTAAAACTTACTATTTAATTATCAATAACGACAACGAGGATGAAACCTATTTTTGTTTTGAAAAAACAGTTAAAGAAGGCTGGGAAGACTTAGTTAGCAATTGAGAAAAAATAAAAGAAGTAGAAATTGAATATACCGAAAAAAAAATACGCATTATTGTCGGAGACCAAAATAATTTTAAAACTTACCGGCAAGTAATAAGTTTTTATTCTCCTGAAAGTAACATTATTATTTAGTGGGAATATTAGCTGCAACCTTAAAGGCTCTGAAATTTCCTTTAAAACTGTTGACTGGATCATTAAGGAAAAAAAGACCAAAAAGAACTGAACGAGAACAAAAACAACTAAAACATGTCCGCAATTTTGACCCTACTAGATTAAAAAATATAAGTTGACAAACAAGAGCAGGTAAAAAACTCACCAAAAAACAGAGAGAATATTACCAAAAGAAGCGAAAAAGAAAGCAAAAAACTGTAAAATCAGTTAATAGATAAAATTATGAAACAAAATAAAAATAACCAAACCAAAGATTTTCAAAAATACCTCCAAGAAATAGAAAATCCCGATTATGATGGACCCGACAT